GTAAGAAAACACCTTTATTTCATTAATTCTTAGGTTAATTTCTAACGGTGGGATATTTGAAAGTCTGTCAGTTGTATATAACTATCTTCTTATGAGATAATTACAACTATAGGAGAGATTTAACCTCTAGATGAATATTTTTAAAGCTAAAAGACTCTATCAAAGGTCTTCTACAGAGAAATGGATTAGTCTTTGCATACTGTGAGCATATCACATGCATTTGAATTGAGTGGTCCATTCACATATCCTTTGAAATCTTAAATCCAGTAGAAACAATGTAAGATATTCTCTTAAGGGTGTTTATTTGGCACTGGTCTTGCAAGTATTTATATACATTAGTAGTTGTATTGTCTTCATAGTAATGAATTTTATATACATACAAAGTGATTGTGCTGTTGCATGTCATCTTGGGCCTGTAGCCCTGTCCAATTAACAGTTCTGTAGTGGTGAGTCTTCCTGCCTATGTGCCAGGGTTTCACTCATGCAGTTACTCAAACTCTCCTTCTTCCCCCCTTCTGACAGGGAGCACAAGTGAATCAGCTCTTGACATGGTTGGTGTTCTCAGGACTCATCCTGACAACATTTTTATAAGATACTTTTAGAGAACAGATAAAATCTCATGCTATACATCATGCTGTAAATTGCCCAGTGAACACAAGTATTGGTCTCTAAGCTATACCATAAGAAAACTAAGCGAAGTGGAATGGCTTGAAAGGCCTTTTTATGGACAAGTCAGATTTTGAACCACTGACTCTGTGACACTAGCACCCAACACCATGCACAAACAAGCTCTTTGCACAGGTACCAGGAGAAAGATTCTCAAATGCAAAATGATGTGGTATCAGAAGCGATTTTCAAAGCCTTAGAAACCAGGCAGGTGAGGAGAGTTGAGCTTAGCAGACCTTTTTTCCTGCCTTTGAAGATTTCTAAACACCCTTGAATAACGATTTTTTCTGTTAGCTGTCATAGCTGTCACTGATTTTTTTTCTTTTTTTTTTTCTTTTAGTAGTCCAGTTTATAACGCAGGGCAGTGCCTGAACATGAAGGATAGACATTGTATTTACCCTGGAGACCAGGTTTGGAGTTTGCTAGGGCTTGATCTTCTCTGTATCTTTCAATAGGAGGACAGCTTATCTGACTCTTAAAATCACACATATACTTGGCTAGACCAGCTACCCCAGTATCTTGTCTCTGACACAGGCAAATTGCAGGCATCTGGAGGACAGTGTATGTCTAAAACCATACGGTGATATTTTCCTGATATACTGCTTTAGTTGCCAATGACTTTTGATTCAAGGGCTCCAAAGGCAGAAATCTGTTATATTAGTATTTAATAGTCCTTAATAGGATTGTCTTTCTTGCATCTGTTTAATTAAATTTTTGAACCCCTGTAGATGGTGTTTCATGAGCATGACTGTAAAGTATCTTGCTTTTTTTTTGACAAATAAGAGAAATAAATTAAAATCATATCGAATGCTATCTTGTGCTCCTGGCACAGTCTTGATCATTACTTAGATTGATATCACTTGGCATAAAAGCTATTTCTAATCCTTTCTTTGGCACTTTGATTCTTCATCTTGTTTTGCTGATTTGGCTAATGGAGCAGCATTTTAGTGTAGGGCTCTTCAGGAACTACAGAATTTGTAGAACATGGAAAGACATCTTTCCTACTTCAAGACCCTATCTATAGATTGTAGTAAAGCCACACTCCGTCTCAAAGATGAAGTGGAACTGAAAGTGTAAAGGCAGATGACAGAATATTGTTGGAGCCACATGTCTGGTGCTGCAGACTAGGGAGTATGCCAGAGATAGGTCCAATATTTGAAATCAGAGCACGAGAGTCTGGGGTGCCCCCATTTTTGCTTGCATTCTCCAGCCTATATGTAACAACAATGTAATAATCAGCTATTTGTCTTCAGGTGAGGCTTTAAAATATGTATTCTTCTCAACAGCCATTTCTTTGTTTAGTCATTCCCACTCCAGTGCAGTTATATACAGTACCACAATTGGTGTAGTTTGCTATACAAAGAGAGGTATTTAGTGGGTATCTGTGTGTCTGGTCTATAAAAAGTGTCTCTATATAGTTAATATATAACCTTCTTATCAGTATGCCTCGATGTTTGTAGATTTGAGAGCACAGCTTACCAAAGCTTGTGTACTCTGTTAATGCACTAAGCCACCTCTGTGTATCTGTAAGTGGGAAGTCTGGGGGGGGAGTCATGTATCACTGACTAATGATCTGAAGATGGCAGTATTGGGTGAGCTATTGCACTTTCTTGGCTAAGCAGAGCTCTCTTAAATACAAAATTGTAGTTGTTGCATATGGCAAATTTATAAAAAAATCTGCTTTTCAATTGAACGGCTTTTCTTAATACTTTAACTTCGTACCACAAGTTAGTAGTAGGCAGATGTATTGCTATTTTGTATGTGTTTTGTTTGAGTTAGCTATACTGAGAGTGCAAGTCTTATAAGTGCCGACGATTGGCTCTCATCAGCAAGTCTTGGCTCATGAATATGACTCCCTTTTATAATAGTAACAGTTGTATAATTTTTACACTAAAATAAAACAATAAATCTCCCTCTTTGTATTGCTTATCCATCAAGGAGGAAGTGGAATCAAGGTCTCCCTGTCTTATGAGCACCCTACCCCTGGACATCAGGGATTGCTCTCTCCTGTGCCTGTTCTAGCTCTCTGCCTTCTGCCCCTGCCATCACCTGGAGTGCACATCCTCAGGGGACTGAAGGATGTTTCTCTTCCCTCTCTCAGCTGGCCCTATAGATTGCTAAGTGAGCATTGGGCATTCTCTGAGAGCAACGTGACATTGGTTTGGTCTTCCACAGCCTGAGAAAAGTTGACAGTAAAGGTGTTCCACATATGGGAACAAAGTCATGGCTGCCTTTACAGATCTGTAACAAACACCAGACCTTCTCTTTTTTGCTGCTGTTGGCTTTAAGAATGAAAATGATCATGATGACTGTGTTTTATCAGGAGCCCAATCCTGCTGTGTATCTGTCAGAATGTGCATGTTCACAGCATAAGAACTACTACCTAATGCATTTCTTTAAGAGAGTTGAGGAGGAAGGGGCATGTTCAAAGATGTTAGTGGAATTTAAGTGTAAAGCTAAGTAGTTCATTGCTGACAGTGTCAGCATGTACAGAACCAGAACTGTAGTCTTCTGAAGGCTTTTCTGGCAAAATATTTAGGTAGGGAAGCTACTCTCGGTGGTAGGTCTCTCAGCTTTACTCATCACTACTACAGTGATGCCTTTGTCATTTTGTGTACGTGGCCGTTTGTCCCTGAGATGATGCTTATCAAACCAGTTGTCTTGGCCTTCTAAGTGGTGACATCAGCTCATTGTATATAATGAAAAATTTTATACCAGCTTGACTTTTTTGAGTGAATAGCAAAGCCAGAGGTAGAGCTGTGATTACTTTTTTTTTTCCGGTTGATGATGTCCACCCCTTATGGATATCTGTGCCTTTTACTGCTGTGATGGAATCCGACTTAAGACATTTGAAGTCTCTGCAACTGTTCCTTCCCAGCTGACTTAGTAGGTTTGAAGCAGACACAGGGCTCATGTTTTTATTCTTCTTTTATTATGCCCTTCTACATAGTGCCGTACTGCATGAATCACTAGCTCTACAGAACTTTTATGAGGCAAAGAAATGAATAATTTTTCAATTCCTAAACATCTGCTGAACTTAAAAGAGCTGTTAATTTCTGCTCTTCTACATTTGGTATGGTACTCAGCCTGGAAGAGTGGGGGGTTAAGGAGGAAGTGGATGGAAAAAATTAACTGTGTTAGGATCCATTCTTAAGTTATCTTTAAAAATTGAGATTCAGTACAAAATACTGTGTTGTTTCTTATCCTAAATTCGTATTTCCTGCAAAGACATGTAAACCTTCTCTGTTCAGTGGAGTTATGTTCCTTTGCACAAAACCTGAAACTGTCAGATAATGCAATAAGCACACAGACACACACGTGTGTATATGCAATATTTTTGTATAAGTTAGAATTCAACTTCCTGAAACCCTCATATGTAGAAATATTTGCTATCTTAATCTCAACTGCTTGATCTAGCATCAAAGAGCAATTTTGATGTGTCATAACAAAACCAAACTAAAACTCAGTACTATAGGAGCAGAAGTGACCTGTCTTTTGCATTTAGTGGACAGTGGGTTTTCTGTGCTTCTTATGGTCTTCCTAACATTTAAATTTGTTGGCTGGGTACAGCGAAGTTAAGATATAGTACTGTTATGTTGATTTGGTGCATCTCTTTCACAGCTTCTCATCAGTTTTACAGCTCAGATATGTTAGCTGATTGAATGTAGACCTAAAGAACAATTGTAAGGGATTAGTCAAGTGAACTCATTTGCCTATAATTTTCTTTCTGTAATTTGAGAAGCCAAGTGCCATATTAGTTCTTCATTTATGGCAGAGTAAAATCTAGTGATGACTAAGGCCTCAACTCAAGAAGGCTCTTAAGCACATGCATATAAGTAAGTTCATTCTTACTCAAGACAGGACTTAAATATGTTGCAGACTTTGAAGTGGGATCAGCTTGAGCTTAGAGCTGACTGTTCTGAACTAGATCTCAGAGATCTTCAGAGGTTCCTAGACAGGCAGACCAGTTACCTTGCAAGATTTATTTTAAGGCATCTCATTTATTTCGGAAGTTTTCAAAAATCTCTGCAGATTACTGTCAGCACCTTGGTACCTAAATTATCTTTCTTGTCTGTTCCTAACTGGCCATTCCTGTGAACTGCTTGAGTGCCCAGACAAAAAGCAGAATCTCACATTTTTGTGCAAAGCTCCCTTACTGCAGAACATGACATTTAAATTATTTAGCAGTAATAATATAATTTATCTGAGTTCATATCCAAGACAGATAATTCTGAAGAAGTGAGACAAGAGAGTGAATATGGTACTGATTGTCATTGCTGAAGTGCCTGTTTGCAGCTACACGATATGTATCTGAATATCTGTTTATTTTACAGTGTTATTTTTTTACAATTGAATTTGGCCTTTGCAAGCAAGAAGGACAACTACGTGCTTATGGGGCAGGACTTCTGTCTTCTATTGGAGAATTAAAGGTATGTACCTTTAAGCAGAATCAACTTTTAATCTTAACAAAATAATAGTTGGATATAAATATATCGACTTTCAAATAACTGTTAAAATTCTCAAGATAAAACGCTTATATTTAAAATGTGGAACTGCCCTAAAAGCTTTGTTTGAAGTATCAGCTGGCACTTGAAGCATGAAATGGACTTGTAAGGCCCAAAGTACCAAAGCGACTGTAAACCACAAAATTTATTTCTGTTTGAATTTTCATTTCTTGTAAAAGGAGGCTCATGAGGTCTAACAGGGAAGGGTGCCTTGGGCTCCAAAAGCTTTGTTTGGATGAGAAGCGTATATTTTTACTACCCACAAAAAATGTTTGGAAATCAGACATGATTCTGTTGTAAGTAATCCAATGTATTTGAATGCATTCATTATTGATATTAAAAGACTAACATTCATTAAGGTCCCTAATTCAGTAGACTAATCATATTTAAAATTAAGGAGTGCATATAAGCTCATGCTAGATTTGCCTGTGTGACAATACATAGACCCCTATTCTTACAAAGGTGAAAGTATTTAACTTTGCATGGTATGACTAGTTGTAGTGGATTGTTTATTGCCTCTTTTTATGCCTAGAAAACATAGTGAATGATTAAAAGGTATTTTGTCACAAGTGTAGTATTTTGAGACATAATACATACCTTCCCTCTTTTGGCAAGATGGGAGGGAAGGTAAGGAGAGAGGGGGAGTACTATCTTCCAAGACCAAAATGAGCTCTTGGTGTCTTTGCAGGTAAATTGGTTTTAGAAAGCATATACAGAATAGTATTTACAAGCTATTTTGCAATACTGTTTGTTTGTCTTTAAACATCTTGCCACCCTTCTGGACTGTCTTTTAGTGAACTACCTGGCGGTTTAATAAAAGTATCTCAGTCTCTTTTTGCTGCTTGTTTCATCTATAACTGAGAATATTTCTAGTAAAGCTCATTAGTCAAATTGTTGTCCTTTCATTAGTAGAATATATATACATATATATTTTGTGGATGTGATGCCAGAAGGGACTATTAGATCATCTGGTTTGACCTCTTATGTTTCATAAGCTTTTAAATATCATCAAATCTTGCATATATTGAGCATAGAGACTTTAGTTAGACATTTCAGCTGCTGAGAAACTAAGCACTTGTGTGCTACAGGAATCAAACAGCACCATACTACAAGAGGACATAGTCTCCATGAACAGACTAATAAGGTGAAAAATGTTCTCAAAGTCTTTGTGTGACCATGTTCCAGGGTAGAAAAGATGGTAAGAGGTAAGGAAAAAAAAAAAAAAAAAACCCTAAATTTTCTGCTAATCTGACCACGGGAGAAGCTCTTTCTAGGCCCGAAACCTGGCGTGAATGTGCTTCTTGTCAACAAGATACATTAAGCAGGTGCTTAGGAAGGAGAATATCTGGGTGCCTGTGACTTTGGTGCACAGCCTTGCATCAAACCATTGCCAGTCTCCGCTGTTTCCTGGGAAAACAACCTCCCTTACCACCCTTTTCTCTTAAGACCTATTGGGAGGGCAAATTTCTTCCTTGATCTGAAGGTGTCTGAAAAATAATGCCAACAGGCTATCCTGATTGTAACTGAAATCCTGGTGGATGGCAGCAAATGATCTGAAAATGATAACAATACTGGCTATTTCAGTGGTGAGCGGTGATGAATAGGAGACTCAGGTTTTGTTGCTATGAAGTCTCCCCATTGTGTGTGCAACACCTGTACTTCTCATAGGTGTCAGAATGAAGTTATTTCTTTCAGAAATAACTACTGCCATTCTTAAGACAGCAGTGATTGTGAGCACATAGTCACTTCTGTGAAAGAAGTTCAAATATTTATCCTTGTCTCTAGGAGGGCAGATCTTGTTTGAATGTTGAATTTTGCTATCTTGACTTTATGGAATCATAGAAAGTTTAGGTTGGAAAAGACCTCTAAGACAAACTAGTCCAATTGTTAACCCAGCACTGCCAAGTTCACCACTAAGCCATGTCCTCAAGTGCCATACCCACACGTCTTTTAAATACAACCAGGGATGTATTCAGCCACTTTCCCAGGCAGTGTATTCCAATGTTTGACAACCCTTTTAGTGAAGAAAATTTTCCTAATATCCAATTTAAACCTGCCCTGGCACAACTTGAGGCCGTTTCCACTTGTCCTGTCACTTGTTACTTGGGGGAAGAGACTGACCCCTACCTGGACACAACCTCCTGTCAGGTAGTTGTAGAGAGTGATAAGGTCTCCCCAAGCCTCCTCTTCCCCAGACTAAAGAACCCCAGCTATCTCAGCTCTTCCTCATAAGACTTGCACTCCAGCCTCGTCACCAGCTTCATTGTCCTCCTTTGGACTCGCTCCAGCACCTCAGTGTCTTTTTTGTGGTGAGGGGCCCAAAACTGAACACAGTGTTCAATGTGTGGCATCACCAGTGCCAAATACAGGGGGACAGTCACTGCTCTAGTCCTGCTGGCCACAGTATTTCTGATACAAGCCAGGAGACCATTGGCCTTCTTGGCCACCTGGGCACACTGCTGGCTCGTGTTCGTATGCTATCGACCAGCATCCCCAGGTCCTTTTCTGCTGGGCAGCTTTCCAGCTATTCTGCCCCCAGCCTGTAGTGCTGCATGGGGTTGTTGTGACCCAAGGGCAGGGACTGGCACTGCCTTGTTGAACCTCAGATGATTGGCCTTAGCCCATCAATCCATCCTATTCAGATGCCTCTGGAGAACCTTTCTACCCCCAGCAGAGTAACACTCATACCCAACTTGGTATTGTCTGCAAATTTACTGAGGGTGCACTCAAGACTGCACAGGCATTTGTTATTAGTATACTTTTGTGAGCAAGAAGAAAAGCCCTTTTCCAACTGCTGTTCCTGTCTGCTGTCTTCTCAATGCAGCAGTATTCACAGGAAACAAAATGGGGGCCAATTTTATGTATAATTTCTAGAAATTTCTAGAAATAAATGAGTCACGCTATTTGCAGGGTGGCAATGGTCAACAGTATTTGGGCCTTTCAGATGAGGGAATGACTTGTTCAGCCATCGCTGTTTCTGTGTTACACTGCTCCACTCTGCAAATCTGGTCAGCAGCTTTAGTAACAAAGAATTGGAAAGGCTAGAGAAATGTGGGCACCAACCTATCAATATAGTATTCCCTTCAGATCTTTTTCTCTGCTCAATATTTAGACTTAAAATTTCAGATACTGAAAAATGCATCTCCTAATGTGCATGCTATGGAAATATCAAGTAACAACAAAATAAGGAGAGAGAGAGAAAATTAAAAATGATGCCTGGGGGAAAACAAATAATACAGTAAGTAGTTATAAAATGTTCTGCCTAATATAGTCAGGTTAACTCTAGCTAACGCTATTACACAGTATGTATTTGGGGCTTAGAGATAAGGCAGAAATAATGTACATTTCAATTATTAAAACAATTTCTAAAAGGCAGTTCAAATGTCTTCACAAACTTTAATTCATTTATTTCGTATGATGCTCTCTTGAACTCTTTCATTAAAGGAGTCTCCTATCAACTTCAGTTGGCTGTAGATCAAGTCATGTTGTATGCTTCTATGAAACATAGAGGTAAACTTCAAATCTTTTTGTATCAATTTTTAAAGTCAAATATAATATCCACTCATATTTTGTTTTAATGTTTTAAGAAGAGACAGCATTAGCTTTTATAACCAGAAAGATTCAAATGCAAATTTTGGCTGTTTTCTTAAGAGGATGAAGAAAACAACTCCTGCATCCCAGATGCTCATTTCAGTACTCTTCAAATAGAGAGCCTTTTCCTTATTTGTCCAAACAATATATAAAATTATAGCACTGAAAAAGATTTTGTGTTAATATCAGGACACTGTCAGATTTGCAACCTGTGTTGCAGATAAGAAAGAAAACATTTAAGAGCAGGTTTTCCAAGACTCTGTCCCACTTGCTGGAATAGCAAGATGGTAAAATCATTACTGGCACACACACAACTTCTCACCTGTGTTCTGCCCTCCTGTAACTCATCAGACAGTGCAGTATTTATAACTCATCTCAAGTTTTCCCCTTGCTAGCTGAAGATTTTACTTTTTGGGTTTTGTTGTTTTTTGTTGTTTGTTTTTTTTTTTTCTTTTTCTTGAAACTGAAAAGCTCTGAGTTATATTATTACACTGCATTTGTTTTTACTCAAAGGAGATATTACAAGACAAAACTCTTTTTTCATGTGTCAGTGATAGTGGTCACTTAGGAAATGATTCACAGTTGTGCAGTGTAAATGTCTAGTGCCATCTGACATGCCCCAGTATTTCTGATCAGCTGCCACTCCAGAAATGTATGTCTGCTTCAGATCCTGTGCTATATCTTCCATCTTCTGTACAATGCATTAGACAACCTAGGCCCTCGACACCAGTGGTTATGTACTTCAATCACTCTTAGCCTTTGCTCTAGCAGGGAGTGGAGGCATTTCTTTATTGTTACCCTTATTTTCAGTATGGGTAGTTGTCTAATTCTTAAACTTTCCAGTTGTTTGATACTGCTACTTTTCTTGGGAATCAGTGGTGATTCATTGGGAAGTTTCATTCCAAACTCTTGTTTCTTGAACTGAAGGAGAATCACCAATAGTTCTATTAGCATAAGCAATATGATTTGTATGAATGGGCCATTAGAGACAGTTAATCACAGATCCACAAGATGATAAGATGCTTTATTTTGCCAAAAGCTATTTTCCATGAGTGTTAGCCATGACATCTCACTGGAGGTGCATAACACAAGAGGTTTCTGATGGAGAAATCCATATTGAGTAGTTACTAATCTGAGTTCACTGAAGAACTGGATGTCCAACCAATGCATGAAAATAGCATGTATCTAAAAAATACAGGCCTCAACTTGAAAGCTTTTGGACTTACCAGACCACGGGGTTTTTTGTGAGATTATATACTTCATATTGTTGAGAGTGCCAAGGACTAATATTTTAGAGCACTGTAATGTTTCTGAAAAACTCTCTAGTCAGCTTTGAGCCAGTGTCCTGACATCCTAGTTCACACTAGACAGTTTATGGTCTCTCTTAAGGTCTGTCTGCAGGCTCAGTTCAGTTCCTGAACTCTGGCATTGCTGGTCTCAGCATATCAGCTCAGTAGTAGATGTTACAGATGCCAGGCTGCAGAATTTAAAAACACCAGCCAGATTTACAAAGATGGAAACATTGCTTTGGTAGCCATGACAATGCCTACTTGATTCAAGAGCCAAAAGACCATATCCAAGAAGAAAGACAGGTATCTTGGGTGGGAATTAAGAATTTAGGCACTTCATTCTCAAACTGCCATTTTAAGAATAACTGATCAGTCGTCACAGAACTTTGAAGGCATGTCTGAATTCTTTACCCTTCATTTCCAGGTTGCATATTTCTGGTGTCTTCACATCCCAGTCTCTGCAGAGTTGCTTTGTGAAGCAGCAGCTCTGCTCATGTGTCCATCTCATATGGGTAATCTGAGGAAAATAACTAGAAAGGCTTTCTCAGAGGACGCCCCCCTGTGATAAAGAATTAGCTTTTCCTTCTCTTTAAACTCTCTCCTTTTATAAAATTAGGGCTCAGTGATTAGTGCAGACTGTGCATGATAGGAGCCACTGGCTGAATCCTTTCTTGTCCCTAATGGCTTCAGTCCCAGGGATAAGGCCTGGCCCAGCAGAGGTCACTGTCACCCTTTCTGTTGAAGCTGTCACAGTGCAGGAAAGAATCCATGAGCCAGAAGTGGCCACCTACTGATTCAGTTCCTAAGAAATCATAGCCTGTGTCATAATCTTTATTCCCTGCATAGGGCTTCACTCAGTCCACTCAGAGTTTTAAAACTTTGTGCTTTAGACATTTGAGGCATCAAGTCTCACCTGGAAATACAAAGGCATTATAAGTGGATACTTTTTTTAAATCTATAGTTAACCTTCCAGGGAATCTATTATAATTCCCAGTGAAGAAAAACACATTCATTTTGATAGGAGGAGCTAAATGCCTAAATTTACAAGCATTCAATGACATCATGGCTCTGCAAAGAGAAAGTGACCACAGGGATAATAGGCAGGGGCCTGATAAGGTGTGCCTGTTCTTTCAAGCCATTTAGAAGAGGATGTAAGTTGCTAGACCTTTTTTTTTGTTTTCAAACCTGTTTAACTGATGGCTGGCTAGAAGCAGTAAACCTTGCGAGAAGGAAAAGATACAAGTACTAAAGAAATTTAATTCCCTGACATTTTAAGATTCCATGGATTAATTTTTCATGTATTTATTTTTGGAGAGAGAGGAGGTGGGAGGAAGAGGCTCTTGTTCCAGTTTTCTGTCCTGTTATTTGGAGACTGCAGGTTGAGAGCTAGTGTGATATTTTCAGAGCCTTTTGCAGGGATTTAGGAATGAGCATAAGCAAGAGCTTGGCTAAAAGCTGTGGTGAATACCTTAAGGTTAATACCTTACTCTGCTATAAGTAATGTCCATGCAGATAGAAAGTGAAGAAATCAGAGGCACCTTCAGACCTCAGGGATCTGCTTCCTCCCTGTCATTTCTTTATGCTTTTCATGCCCATCTGCACTATGTATAGACATTAGGGGACTGAAGATGGTTGAAAGATGACCTAAATATGCTCTCCTTCCATACCTTGTACTTCTGTAACAGAACTCTGAGAATGAAAATGTGTGCTCTAGAAGATAAAGTAGATCCAAAAGCTAACACAAGTATTCAAGTGGAAAGGGGAGCTAGATAAGATTGTGTTGGAAAATGTCTCAGTACCTGATTTTCAGTTCTGAAATCTGTCCTCTCAAGTGGCTTGTGCAAGTCATTTAAAGAAAAAGGCTAATAAGAAATCTCTATTCTGGATAGCAACATTTGATGCCTCATGTGCCCAGTGTCTGCTTTATACTTACCTATATCTGTTTGTTTAGTTATTTTTTCCTTGCAGTACTATATGGAGCATTATTGCTCAGGTGTATGTGGCAGAAGGGCAATGCATTTCATCATCATGCAATAAATTGATGTTATTTAATGGGTTTTCAGATACATGATTTCACTCTTAAACTCACTGACAAGAAAATAGTATGTGATTTTGGCCTGAAAATGTAAAGCACACATCATATGAATGGTTTGGTCAGACTCAATTCACCCACCAAGATGATAATGAATTCTGCCAGATATGTGACATTTTAGGGACATGCGTATTTGTAGTTGTATAGATAACTTTTCAGGAATGGTTATTTGATGACTTTCCTGTTTCCAGCTCATCATTTTGGTCTGTATGTCTCCATGGCAGGTGCATTTCTGATCTCCTGTCTGTTATTTGGGGGGGAAAACAATTCTCCCACAGTAAGAGGTTTTTTAACTAGCAAATTCTGTTTACTGTTCAAACTAAAAAACCACTGTATGTAAAACAAGGGAGGCTACCAACTAATGGGAAGCATACAGCACAGCAATCTAAAAGCTGTATATGTGAACAGTTGTATAAGAAGACACAGCAATATCAAAATATGGTCTAACAGATCCTGTGGTGTATTTTGCAGCATGCTCTCTCTGACAAGGCCAATGTGAAAACATTTGATCCAAAGACAACCTGTTTGCAAGAATGCCTTATCACTACTTTTCAGGAAGCTTACTTTGTTTCAGAAAGTTTTGAAGAAGCCAAAGAAAAGATGAGGTAAATTATTTCCCTTGACTCAAAAATCTAATTTTCTCTTCTTTAGTGGCTGAAAAAAAAAAAAGAGATGTTAATTTCCTTTTTTCTTTCAGGGACTTCGCCAAATCAATCAATCGTCCCTTCTCTGTATATTTCAATCCATATACACAAAGCATTGAGATTTTGAAGGATACCAGGAGTATAGAACATGTTGTCCAGGACCTCCGCAGCGATTTAAACACTGTATGTGATGCTTTAAGCAAAATGAACCGATATTTAGGGATTTGATATGTGTGGCACTGTGATTTGCTGTCAGTTGCTCTTTCTGTGGCCAGTTATGTCACATGAGATGTCTAACTTCTCAAACCCATCAGTTTTCCCTTTGCAGCTTGGCCTGTGGCTTGCATCATTGTGTAGCTCTGTCTAATTGTAATGTGCAGAAAAAACAAGGCAATACTAATTTGTAAATGCAATACAGAATGTGGCAAAATATAACCATCAATTCCTCAACACAGTGTCATGTACAAGTATACCATTAAAAACTTACCTGGCAGTGGTTTTGTTTCCGTAAGATGATTCACTTCGATGTTTAACAAATGATGTTGCTGATTTTTTTAAGTCTTATTTTATGTCTTTATAATCCCTTTCCTTCCATAAGAATCCATAAGAAAAAATTACTTGCACCATTTTCATTTTGTTTGTAAGAGAATCTGTATTTCTTTCTATAGTGGTGAAGACATTGTTTTGTCCATATATCTGTGAGAGAACTGCGTGTCTCTTGTGACTGAACAATGCAATTTATATACCAGTGCTGAGATCAAGAGGGCTATGTATCGGTACTAAAAGATCTGTGGGGATTATACATTTCACAACTGACAAAAGTTCAATGTGGCTGAGTAATTGCAACACAATAAAAAAAGAAACATCTGACAATTCTCGTAGAAAGTTAGTTCTAGTTCACACTTATTACCCGTGACCATCCTGAGCATGCTTCCTCTGTGAGGGCTATCTGGGAATGAGAGAGGAAGTACTTGTGTTAATTCCAGGTTGATAGATGTGAATATAAAGCCCTCCACATCATTGCATGCCTTCTGCATTCCCTTGTCTTTTGAACATACTCCTCTTGCATTTCATGCATAATTTGCCTTTCCTCATTATTCGACATTCAACCTTGACTTGGCCATGCATGACTGGGTCTATGCTGTATCAGTGTCAGCACATATGAAAGGGTGAATATGGAAGTTGTTATTTAATTATAGCCAAGATGATTATCAGTTAGTAAAATACTTGTCGGGTGATTAAATCATAAAGACACCCAAGCTGCCTTGCTTGTATCAGATGGATGCAGGTAATGCCTGAGTTAATAAACTCTAAGTTGGGAAGCTCTGACAGAAGTACAAGGTCTGTCTGGGGAGAACAGTGCAGAAATATTTGAGCTGGCTCTTATCTGGAAGTAATAATTATGCATGTCTTTCCTTTATCTGGGTTATTCTATTCTCCTATTAGCCAAGATAATGGTGAGTTGACTTAATTGAATGGACCCTTTTTAATGGAAACCACATGGCTTATGCAGATCATGTCAGTATGGGTGAAAGTGTCACAGCTTGTCTACATATATGGAAAATAGGTACCTATTGAAGCTGCTCTCCTTGCTGAAAGAGTTGTGCAGAGACTCCTAAGTGTTGCTGGCAATTTTAGCATAAAAAGAGCACCCTTGATAGTACCAGCATATCCTTAAATAAGAGGCAATCTATAAGGATAATTTTCACAGGGAAATCTGCCACCTCCTCAAAGATAACTATGAGATAACAGAAAATGCTCTTTTCTCCGGATGGTCCCTGCTGCATTCTAATGCTGGTGTTAATAGGGTATGGAAAAATCTAGTTTTAGATTTAACTGTGACTGCCATTGGTACAAATTAAGAGCCATTGAATTACCCCATGGGGATCAGCATGCTAGAGGAGTTTTTAACCTCCTAACATGAGTGCATTACATAGCACTTACCACAGAGCAATCACTGGCAACCTTAGCAGCAACGTTTCTCCCTCTTTCTTCCCAAGGAATCTGATGACCCCCTTGTAGCCTTTCTGGAGAAAATGGACTGTACTGAGATTTCCTTTAGCTGGTCTGAAAAAATTATTGTGCAAGGAATAAGTAGAACTTGGTTCAAGAACTGACAAAGTATTGGTGATTGCTTAAGTAAAATAAAGCCATAATGGGTAACAAAGATCCAAAGCTTACAAAGTTGCCAAGGCTTTCCCTTGAATCAGAATTGTGCAGGAAAACTTCTAATACTTTTAATATCTGGATCTGTACTTGACTTTTCTGAATAGCTTAAAATAAGAATTACACAGCATTAAACAATAGAAGCATATCTTTGTTTTGTTTTCTGCTGTTAGCAAGTAAATCTTATTATGGATTAGGAAGAAACCCTTGAAATCCAATAGTCATTTTAGGACTAATGATGGCAAGGAAACTGTCTACAGTAAAGATATAATGTCAATGAAACAGAACATTATCATAGGATAACGGGCTCCCGCTGCTAGATATATGCTTAATCCAATGATTTTATTTCTATTATACAACATGATTAAAAATAAATTAACTATAATGGGCTAAGGAATAATAGTGATTTAGAGAGACAATCACTCATTGTTCTTACATAGCAAAGCTGCCTTCTTACAGGCTGCAGAGCAAACTGGCTTTGGGCTTCAGCCAGTGAGGAGCCAGGACTGGGAAGGAATGCTTTAAAAAGTGCACTGTTGCACTTTTATGAATCAAATAGTTCCAGCTTAGTTGAAATTCTTCTCTGCAGTTTTTATTAGCAAATTAAGAGCAGCCATGCAGCAATCTTCTTGGATGACAAGCTCATTTAAGCATAATGAGGGAATTATTGACAGTTATCAAATTACACTAGCGTTTCATTTAGAATAGGCTATATTTATCTGAGGTGCTTGTTTAGGTTTAGTGAGCTGAACTCTGGAAATTGGGTTTCTGGCTTAGTCTCATTTATTTCCTGTGTAACTCTGAACTGATGCTTTAAGGGTCTGAGATATATGCTCTTGCTTTGCCTGCACAGAGTAAATGGGCCCGAGCTTAATAAATGTAAAGCATTGCAGTGTTTACTACCATGCAAAGTCTAAAATGAAAAACAACACACTGAGACATGGCAGCAAATACATATACCAAGTTTCATTTGCAAACCAAGACATGGTTCATGTGTTTCATTTCATTTGCTTGATAGAGGGGCTGGAATGGGGAAGGTGGTAACACAATATATTGCGTTTTCCCTCTCCACTCTTCAAGACCTGTTGGGAATCCTGTTTTAAGTTTGGCCCTTAAATGTACTTTCATGAAATAAGGCGTCTTTTTCTTTCTTCTTGTTATGACATCCTAATGTGATGGAGAAAGTTCTAGAAATTTACTGTACTGTAATGTGTATTTACTGATGCTCTATAATGGATTACAGAAGAAAGTTTCATGTCTTTGAAAGGACAGCCTGTTTCAGAGAGCTAAAGCTGCTGAAGGTTTTAACCTAGAGGCTGCTGGTACAAATCTAGCCTAGTCAGCAGTTGCTGAAAGCCAGCAGCAGCCTGGCTTCTGTGTGATGAACTGGGAAGCTGTGAATCATAGAATTATAGAATCAACCGGGTTGGAAAAGACCTCAGAGATCATAGAGTCCAACCCTACTGTCATTACTAGACCATGGCACTAAGTGCCACATCCAGTCTCATCTTGCAAACCTCCAGGGATGGTGAATCTACCACCTCCCTGGGCAGCCCATTCCAATGCCTGATTACTCTCTCCGTAAAAAATCTCTTCCTAATATCCAACCTAAACC